TCATCATTTCTTTCTGGATTCTTTTTAAAATAGAGCTCATTTTCATTGTTCACCTTTTACATTGCTTTAGAATAGGCGATGATGATGATGATGATGATGATGATGATGATGATGATGATGATCTGGCTTTTCTTTTTTCGTAAATTTATGTGCCGAACAAAATTAGTTTTATAAAAATAGTAAACGAATTCGGAACGGGGGGCCTAAATTTAAACTAAAAGGGTCCCTGATAGACTTCCCTTGCTTTTCTTCCTTTTCATTTTTACCACCATTATTCAGCTCTTGCTATTGTTTTTCCAAACTACCTTTCGTTTTTATTTCATCACATCTCCAATTTGTCCACCCAATGTATGTTTGCTTCATTCTCCTTATTTTTTTTCTCAACAAATGTTTATTTAGATATTTAGAATATCACCAAACAACGTTACCGTATCCCTGCGTGTAATATACTTTTTGAGGTACGAGGCAATCATGGAAGAAAAAATAGGGGAAAAAATAGGTTAGCAATGTTGTAATCGGCTTGTTTCTTATTGTGTAGATGCACTATGCATGACAATGATAGCGCTCAAATTGAGCGGAACGAGTGTACGCTAGGTTTATTAAGTCTACATATCATTTATTGCTTTTTTGTTTTATGTTTTTTGTTCGTTTTCTTTTTCATTTTTTCCTATAAAACCCCTTAAGGCTTTATAAGGGCAAACAAAATCGATCGCTTTCGGTTTTATTGTAGGACATACATATTACATTATTTTAGTTTTCTCTTTTTTTTCAAGTTACTTCTCTCAAAGTAAATTGCTCAGACTCTCAGAGGAATTCAGAGCGTAAACATAAGTGAACAACGATTTCAATGTTTAATCTATAAATTCCATGTTTTACTAATTCATCTCAATGAATTGTGATCCGTTCGGGAGTTTGTGCTGTACTCGCGTGGACGACCCAGCGGCTCTTGCAGGCTCTTGTTGTTGATCGAATCTTGTCGTTGTTGGCGTTAGGTATGATGCCATGTGGAAGAATTGCGGCAATTATGTATATAATCATCGTCTCTTGATTTCCCCAGATACCGCGTCACGTGACTGCAGGAGATCGCCGGTGCTTGCAGATTGGAGCAACGGCGTGTTTATGGTGAGTGATTCATGTGGCTTCTACGTTTGTTGGAACAAATTCGTGTACGATTTGTCGCTCTTTGCGTAAATTTACGTGTTTCGTTCGATTAAGTAATATTTTATTCCCTACTTCTAACACAGCGCCTACTGTAAACGATGTATACAGTAGGCATTGTACTAACGTAGTACTGCTCGTAATTCAAACAAGGGGGTCTAAAATGTTGAGTATGATACAGCGAATGACATTGAAATTAAAGCTATTCCACCAATAATTGGCGGTTGCCTTAAGGCAACAGAATGATGTCAAATATTAGAAGTATGGCATCCAATCAACAGATTAAAGCAAAAGAGTAACCGTGGCGTACAGGAATAGAGCAACCATAGTCTCGAACTGTCGCTCTAGAGTGCGATAATTGTATTCCCCGTTGTTATTGTTGTTGTTGCTGTTGTTGTTGTTGTTGTTACTTTTGTTGTTTTTGTTTGTTGTTTTGTATTTGCTTCTTCTTCTTCTTCTTCTTCTTCTTCTTCTTCTTCTTCTTCTTCTTCTCCTCCTCCTCCTCC